GGAGCGCTCCCCAAGTGCCACCGATGAGGAGGCCTGAACTGTACTGTGAATTAGGAGAGAAGGGTGTATAAAGGGATATCCCACCAAATCAATCAACACTTCTAAAGTAATAAAACATGCCTCGGTCCACTCCATCCACCCTCAGTCAAATATGTTCGAGAGAAGTCGAAGAAGAGGAGTTTCTTTCTGTACATTTGCAAAGACATGTGATCATCAGATGGCTCCATATACCATAAAATATATGTTGCACAGGGAGTGTTGAGATATTTGTATACAGATATAATCTAATTACTGCTTCATTGGTGACAACTATGAAGAGAATAGCACACAAAAAACACAACAGCAAAAGATGCTGTGTCAGCAAACCATGAGGCGGTAACATAAAGGTGTATTCTGATAAACAAGTTAAAAGCTGCTGCCCACTACACAGAGCAGGACGTGCATGTTTGTAATAAGCAAAGGCGGGAAAAGTTCCTTATTGTCATCTTTTTTTAAGTAAAATGTGTAATTATAATTAAAAACAGATCTCTTCTTTAATTTTAGTGTACCAATATTTAAGACCTATTTCAGTAATTATCTAGATATTATATGTGATAACAGTGTAGAGATAACATGCTAGGAGTCTTCATCAGCCTGTCTTCAGATAAATGCCCTGAAGCTTTGTGTGAGGCAAATTCTAGTCTAATGGAAACATGTACTGCAATGTCACTTTATTTTAAAAGTTCCACTGTTTGGCATTTATTTAAAGCTATATATAAACATTTAATGTATATTTGTGACCAGTATAGTATGACTCAGCGTACCTATTTTTACTAATTGGTTATAACATCAAGATATTCTATTGATTTAGAGCTACGTTTGACTATACTGCCATGTCACAGTTATTAACAAATACATGAATCCAGCTATGTAACCATTAAATGTTTGCATATGCTTATAAATGCCAAATATGGAGCTTCAAATGTTATCATCAAGACTATTACTATTAGACATTAAGTTTGATTTTTGGACAAACTGTCCTGATGTTTCACCTCTGCCTCACTTTGATGATGTTTTGTGACAACAGTCTCTGGACCTGCTGTGATTCCTGAGGTGTGTGTACATCTCATATTTCTGACTGTTTAGGTTGGAAAGCCAGCCAGCTGTGTACGCAGAGTGTTTCCAGACTTCTCAGAAGCTCTTTAGCAACACACCACAGTTATTTGTCTGAGGTTTGATGGAGCTGAGGCCCAGTCACTCTCCACTACTTTACAGAATAAAAACACCCTACTTTACCTTGCTGCTGCTGCTTACCTGTCACACTTCCAGTATAAGCACTTACAACTGTTGATTGTAGAATTCAAGAATCACAAGGTTGTAATACATGAGTACTGTAACTTGTTCTTCTGTTGTTGTGTGGTGACTTTAGGATTTCAGAACAGTTTCATCTATTTTGGCACTTTTTCTGCTTTTAATTTTTAAGACAAAGGACCAGAGGGACGTCAGCTCCTCTCTGTTTGTGAATGCCTCACGGCCGTATGGTGTTGGATATACTGTATAGAGTATTTTCAGATTATAATGTCAATGCATGTATGTACAGCTTGCAAATTCAGTACTGTACTTATCTCATTACAGTAGGTAACCAGAGTGAACCAAAGCATCGGTGTTTGCATCTGTGTTGTGTTGTTTCATTGTGGCTAAAACTTGGAACAAAACAATAAATTATTGACAGTGTGTGATGTAGTGCTGTGGTTAAACGAATCAAAATTAGTCCGTATGTTGGTAATTGATAGTTTGCGTCACTTTAACTAACATATAAGGGCTTGTTACATGGATTAGTTCAATTTGGTTTTATTTGCATAGCCCCATATAACATATGTTAAAGAAGCTTAACAAGCATAAAAAAAAGAAAGCAGGATTAAGTGGTCTTTGCTCACTGGATAGCCCAGTTCTGTGTTCCTTGTAGTCTATGACTAACATTAAGGCATGTGTGGACTGTATTTTGTAAAGGTCAAAGTTCAGAACACTCTAGGCAAAATTCACAAGTAAAACACGAGTTTTTAATGTTGAAATGCCAAATGTCAGCTGCTCGTCAGGCAATCAGCTATATTTATTATTTTTCTTACAACTTGAGCCCAGAAGGATAAACGCCAGTAAGTTCGTCTGAGTTAAAGGTTTTGGGGGTATTTACATGTCTCAGTTGACACTCTTTAAATCCTATGTCTACAAACTAAAAGTGCTACGGCAGTAGTTTTCATTTCAGCAGATTTTTAACTTCAGACCCAAACAAACCTGCTGTTAGGATCAACTGTAAGGTGTAATGACTCCATTTCATCACTAGTAGGAGGTCTCATACAAGTAGAACAGTAAAATCACGCCTATGCCCTTTAGGTCTGTCAGTTGTCTTAAGCCTGATACACCCATTGAGCTTTCTTCAGTGAGTTTTAGATGCAGTTGTTTTTACCATGGCCAAAGCATCAAACATAATGTAAAATTAGCACTGTGTTGTAACAGTCCCACAGGCTTCTTCAGTGATTTTTTTTCTCTTTTTTAATTCCTAAACTATAAAATCAGGTGTCTTTCTGAGCATTCATAAAATGCTCTTATTCTTACTGCTCAAAGCATCCAGTACAATGTGAAAGTAGAATTGTGCTGCCAAAATCTCACTCTAAGTATGATCCAGCAAATCAAAACAGAAACTCTTCACTGAGATGGCAAACAGCACTGTTTGCAAACAGCACAGAAGTATGCTGAATGTACAGCATGCTTAGAGGAGTCACAGGTTGAGATGTGCGAGTTTTTTGGTTAAAACTAAGGCTCAGTGAGTTTACTGTATGTCAATAAATGGTAAATGGTAAATGGCCTGTGTTTGTATAGCGCGTTACTAGTCCCTAAGGACCCCAAAGCGCTTTACACATCCAGTCATCCACCCATTCACACATACATTCACACACTGGTGATGGCAGCTACAGTGTAGCCACAGCCTTAAGGGGAAGAGGGGAAAGTACGAGGATGAGTCAATATTCCTGATTTCCAGGAACCCTTACACAACCCTTACCCCTTAAGCAACTTAAAATTAGCTGTTACATGTAACATCTGCTGAGAGGGGAGCTGAGCTGTTTTTCACCTGGCTCTGCTTTGATGACCCAAACTGTTTATGTGTGTATTTTGCTTCATTTTTGTATTTTTATCTTGTATAATTTCATTACATTGTGAGTTTTTGTCTAAATTCATTAGTTTTTACGCTGTTTAAAAAAATGAAAAAACAACATTAGGCCAGGTTTATTTATATAACGCTATTTCATAACAGCAGATACCTCAATGCTCTTCATACTGTGAGGTAAAGACACTACAGAATTGGGCGAAACCCCAACAATCAAGCCAGCCAGTGTGAGCATGCACTTTGTGACAGTGGGAAGGAAAAAAAACTCCCGTTTCTCTGGTACAACCAGGCTCAAGGAAGGGCCAGCTGCGACCAGTGCGGGGAAAAGAAGAAAGACAAGAGAAAAGTAGACAGAACAAAACACTGATGAAGGGAAACAGACAGAAAAGAAAGATGTAATGAAATGCTGGAGTGAAGAAGTGCCGAGTGCAACCCTCAGCAGAATGAGTGAGAGGAAGCTCGATTTATGAGCTCAAAGGTCAACCGGAGAGGCAGTCTGTCTCTCAAACTCAAACAAAACAAACTTGTGAAACTCTGTGTTTTACCAGCGTGTTGTAATAGTGAGTGTAGCAGAATCTCTAATCCAGCTGCCAGGAGGAGTGATTGAGGGAGCAGTGCCAGCTGAGGAAAGTGACGTGAGTGTTGTTACTCCATGTGGGAAACAGTTAATAAATCATCAGTTGTTTCCTAAATGCATCAAATGTCTGTAAATCATGCGAAGCAAGAGTGGCTAATCAATGGCACCCGGAACTGCTCCCCGAGTGGTGCAGGGAGGGTATGATGGTGTCGTCTGTGCCGTTGTCATCAATTTCCAGCTTCATCTGCATAAAATGATAGAAGCAGATGACCCGCCCAGTCATTCATGTAGATGCATCTACAGACAGTGTGTTGATGCATCTGTCTATCAGGGGACAGAGAGAAACAAATCTACCACCTCGGTCTCCTAAAAGCAAGTAAGGATGTGGAGCCTGTTTCTCTGGTGAGCCCTGTGAATGACAGAGATGAGTTGGGGCCGCAGGTTCCAAATCTCAGCCATCTCCTTTCTGAGGACCATCTCTCGCTGGTCCAGAGGCCAGATGATACCAAGTTGTAGGTTTGTCATTGGGTGTTGTTCCTTAGCTAGGAAACACAAATCTCATACAACGTTACAATGACTGTGAGATGGTACGATCTTACTCACACGAGAAAAAGGTGACTCTGAAAGGACTGAACGCAATGGTAGAGATGGAGCTAACGGAAGAGTCGCAGAGTGCCTGGTGTTGCCCTGTTGTTATTATTGTGAACTAGCGTGTGTGTATATGTTGAAGCCAGTGTCACTCACATCTAGTCTCCTGTACTTGTTGTCCACTCCGTGTTTTTTAATGACACTGGATTTAACAAATGACTACTGGTAGATTCCCTTATCTTCAAAGTTAATGACAAAGACCTCTTTCAGCACTCCACATGGTGTTTACCAATTTGACACATTTCCTTTTGGCTTACTTAGTGCCCCAGCCACCTTCCAACACCTCCCGGAGAAGATACCCTGTCTCCATAGTACTGCCTGAATAATGTGATCGTCCATATCATCACCTGAGCGGATACTCTGAAAGAGTGAATGTTTACCTCTGATTAAAAAAGAAAAAGTGATTTTTACTCTCGGGGGTGTTGTTGCTAATGTAGAAAAACATTCTTTTATATTTTGCCTATTAGCCTGTGTTACAGCAATAACTCTTCTTGCCAATAAAAAAAACCTGTTTCCAAAAACGCCTTTAAAATCTGTGCACAACATTATAAAACATACAGGTATATTCATTGGTATTTGTCAGTTTACACAGAAAGAGAGAGAGAGAGAGAGAGGAAAACCCACTGGTTGGGACGAAGATAAGCACATTGAGTGGGCTCAGCGCTGCTTGCTCCCAATTTCAAACACCCCAGCTGGGATTGGTGCAACACTCATGTGACTGAGGCTCTCTATATAGTTTTGCTCACAGTCATCTTTTTATTCTTGTCAAAGAAAAAGAAGATAAAAGACGACATGTCTAAGATTTGGAAGGGACTCGTAGGACTGTCTGCTTGCTGGTGTCTTTTGACACTTGTTCATTGTTCGTCTGAAACTGGTAAGAAATTGAACTTTTCACCAACTCTTTCTTTCCTCCTGTGTTGTAATAGATTTGATGTGCTTCATTAAAACTTATGAAGAAAGGAGAAGTGTGATAAAACCAAGAGTACATCTGTTTACATGCAAAAAAGAAAAAAAAACTTTCCCTCTAGGACAGATGTTTGTTTGTTAGTCAGAAACACTTTGCTTGGCTTATAGTGTCAAATAGTTTTATGGTGAACGGTTATATTTGGCACAGTTTAGCTTCATAACCCCACACACTGTTGTCTTCTTCTTTCGGCTGCTTCTTTTATCAGCCCCCCCCCAGCAGATCATCAGCCTTCACCTTATCCTACCTCCTCTATCACACCAACCCTCTGCACATCTTCCTTTACTACTTCCATGAATATTCTCTGTGGTCTTCCTCTTTTCCTCCTGCTTGGCAGCTGTACTTTCAACATCCTTTGTCCAGTATATCCGCTATGCCTCTTCTGCACATGTCCGACACGTTACTACAAATGCCCAGCAAGGTATGAATGGACTCCCACGGCACATTGGACTCCAGTTGTGATTTTTGTCTTTCACAGATGCAGCCTACATATGCAACGCCAATCAGTTTAAGTGCGGAAATGGGAGGTGCATCACCCGCAGGTGGATTTGTGATGGAAGTGATGATTGTGGTGATGGAACTGATGAGCTGCCCGCTAGCTGCGGTATGTTATCACATATCAGCTACACCTTACACAAAACTAAAAATATTTAGTTTTGGATGATGTGCATGATGAAGGAAATGATCAGACTGTCACCACAGTGAACCAGAAACACATTAACAAAGTCAAATGATTGTTAAGCTTTACGACATAATAGCAAAAAGCTGTGTCTCTCTGTGGTCACGTGAAATGAGTCACGCTTCATGTTTCTCTCCTCAGGAGTCAAAATCTGTCGGGATTCGCAGTTCAACTGTGGCGATCCCACGAGCCAGTGCATATCAAAAGACTGGCAATGTGACGGCAAAGCCGACTGTACTAACGGCGCTGATGAGAAAAACTGCAGTAAGTTTTCTACCAGAGCCGAGTTTTTCTACACCTCAAAGTTCATGCTAAAGCATCCACAAACAAGACACGACTAACTGAAAGTGTTTTTGGCAAGAATGAATTTTGTTCAATGTATAATAATAATATCTCAAAAGGGATTTGAAGAACAGACTTAAAGTCAAGTAATCTTTAAAAAAAAAAGCTAATACTAGTAGTGTATTTATAATCCTGAAGTCTAGTTAATACATATAAATATATAAGTGTTGTTATTGTGTGGAGATCATGAGTTTCGTCGCGATAGTGACCGGTGCATACCTAAAATCTTTGTTTGTGACAGTGACAACGATTGCTCAGATGGCTCAGACGAGGCTTCCTGTCCCAAACCCAACTATAACCCTCACTCCTTCCATTGCAATGACTCAAGGTGTTGTTATTGATATCATAATTGATCGATTTCTAACTCCTATCCTCCCCTCTTGTTTTACCACAGCGGCCAAATATTGTGACGATCATGAGTTTCGTTGTGCCAATGGCCAGTGCATATCCAAGAGCTTTGTTTGCGACAGCAACGAAACCTGCTCAGATGGCTCAGATGAGGTTTCCTGTTCCAACACCACCTGTAGCCCTCACTCCTTCCAGTGCAACAACTCAGTGTGCGTGCCGGCGGTGTGGCGCTGCGATGGAGACATTGACTGCCCCGATGGGTCTGACGAGTGGCCCCAGAACTGTGAGGGAAGGGAACCAGAGAAGAAAACACACTGCCAAACTCATGAGTTCCAGTGTGTGAATGGGAGTTGTATCAAAGACAACTGGAAGTGTGATGGAATGTTTGACTGCCAGGATGGTTCAGATGAGACTAACTGCAGTGAGCTTTTTTACTTTTTATACAATTCCCACTGTATCTTTGAGCACCTTGTTACCTGCATTTTGAGACAAAAAACGATCATTTCTTCTTTTTAATCAGAGATCAGCATCAAGTCATTTAAACTTCTGGGAAATTGATCTGGTCAGTTAAGTAGCAGAGGGGCTGTTTTATCCGCTTCAGCTGCTTTGGTACTAATGAAAGCTACAACATGTTGGGAAATGGTTTAGCAGTTCATAACTATGTGAACCATTGTGTCGCAGAGAAATGGCACTGTGGTCGAAAAGCTGACTATAACAGCAGTGCATTGCAATATAATTACCAGAAAGAAAGCTTAGTAACTGATGCGAAAAACTAGACTTGACTGGGATTGTGTGCTTTTTACCTGTAGATTACAGTAGGAAAAAATTTGTTAATATAAGTTAAAAAATGTATTTTAAAAGTTTTATTGTTGATGTGTTTTCCACCTTTATACCCATATTAACTCCTATTTCCCTCTCTTATCACATTACAGCGGCCAAGCAGTGTGACGACCGTGAGTTTCGTTGTGCCAATGGCCAGTGCATATCCAAGAGCTTTGTTTGCGACATCGACAACGACTGCTTAGATGGCTCAGATGAGGCTTCCTGTTCCAAAACCAACTGTAACCCTCACTTCTTCCAGTGTAACAGCTCAATGTGTGTGCCTGCGGTGTGGCGCTGCAATGGAGACATTAACTGCGACGATGGGTCTGACGAGTGGCCCCAGAACTGTGAAGGAAGGAAGCCAGAGAAGACGTGCAGACCTCACGAGTTCCAGTGTGCGAATGGGGACTGTATCCCTGGCAACTGGAAGTGTGACGGAGGGTTCGACTGCCTCGATCATTCGGACGAGGCTAATTGCAGTGAGTTTTTAAAAATTTCTTTATTGTTAAAGCCAACCTGCACATTACATTTTTAATGGAGACTGACAGTAAATATTTTCTGGAGGTACTGGTATTATGTTTCTTCTTATTCTAATCTCTATTCCATTACTCTCTCTCTCCATCTCTTTTTTTGTGTTTTCGTTCATTTACCTTCTTCCTTCTCTTCCAGCTCATTCCACTTGCCGCTCAGATGAGTTCCAGTGTAAGGACGGCACCTGCATTAACAAAAACCTCCAATGTAATGGACGTGCTGACTGCGGGGACCTCACTGATGAGATTGAATGTGATACAGGTAAAAAGATTTCATTCAGTTTCACCCACAAACTGTAATCAAAAGCTTCTTTCTTGAAAAGAAAGAAAGTCCCACATGATTACATTGCGGTCTCATTCATACTCCCCTGGTCTCTTCCACAGTATGTGAAGGCCCAAACAAGTTCCAGTGTCGCAGTGGGGAGTGCATCGACACGGAGAAAGTGTGCAACAAGCAGAACGACTGCAAGGACGGGTCTGATGAACCAGCGAAAGAGTGTGGTAAGTGAAGTCATCTTGTACACATTCATGGCTGCCAGCCTGTAGGGAAATATGACTAGAATACCTGACTTGACCTACATAGCTTGTGGTTTGAATGAGTAAATTCCCGGTCAGCTAAGGATTTGGTTGTCGTGAATATTATTTGAAAGCTTTTTGCCTGTTTGTCTCTGCAGACAACAATGAGTGTCTGACCGGAAATGGCGGCTGCTCTCACTACTGCAACGATCTGAAGATTGGCTACAACTGCTCCTGCCCTGCTGGATACAGGCTGAAGGCGGACAACAAAACCTGTGAAGGTGAGCGGACGGAGACATTTAAAATTCTGCCTCTTAAGAACCAGACAGATCGTAAACATGTCATTTAACAATGTGCACAATAGAAACAAACAAATGAGCCAACTTCTTCAATTCTGCAGACATTGACGAATGTGCTGAGCCAGACACTTGCACTCAGATCTGCATCAACTTGCCAGGCAGCTACAAGTGTGATTGTGAAGAGGGCTATATGATTGACCCTGCGACCAAAACTTGCAAGGCTGAATCAGGTAATGTTAGAAAGAAAGCCCACTTAAACCCACTTAACGCTTGATCCTGTGACGCAACCTTCAGACAAGACAAGCAAGTTTAACCGAACTGTCCTCCTCTGCCTCCACCAGGCACAGTGCCCACCTTGTACTTCACCATCAAACACGAGGTGAGGAAGCTGACAGTGGACCGCAGCGAGTACGTGCGTGTGATCCCACAGCTGAAGAACGCAGTGGCTCTCGACATGGATATGCCAAACAAGATGATCTTCTGGTCTGACCTGTCTCTGAAGAAAATCTACAGGTAAGAATCTTTATCTGTGTCCTTTCTTTTTTACATTTCTTTATGAGTTTCTTGCTTCATTTTGCATAGTATGGAGTGGCTCCCATTCAATGATGCAGATGAAATTAATCTCTCCACTCTTGCCTTCCTCCAAACAGCTCTATGATAGATGTGGCTGGCAATTCCTCTCACCACAATGTGGTGGTTGAAAGTGGGATAGAGGCCCCAGAGGGCATTGCGGTGGACTGGATCCATGGCAACATCTACTGGACTGACAGTGTTTTGAAGACTATTTCTGTAGCAACAACGGATGGCGGTATGAGGAAGACCCTGATCGCAACGGACCTGGACAAGCCACGAGCCATCACAGTCGATCCAGTAAACAAGTAAGTGTTTAAACAGACATCACAGCGAGTACGTTTCCTTAGATTAGTGTCAGTTTGACATGAACTGGTGCGTTTTGTCTTTAGCCTCATGATTTCTTTACTGTGTCCTCTTTAGTTTGATGTACTGGACAGACTGGGGTGAAGAAGCTAAGATTGAGAAGAGTGGGCTGAACGGTGCAGATCGCACTACTTTAGTAAAAGACAACATTGTGTGGCCGAATGGCATCACCCTGGGTAAGCACAGCTTCCTGAATGCATTTTTAGCAGTGATTTTTATTTACTGTGTAATGAAAATATCGTAGTCAAAACTATTATTTGTGTGTTTCATTTTCTTACCAGACATGGTCAACCAACGTCTATACTGGGTGGACGCCAAGCTGCACTCTCTCTCCAGCATCGATGTGAATGGAGGGGCCCGACACAGTCTCATTATTAATGAGGAAAAACTCTTCCACCCACTCTCCCTGACAGTCTTTGAGGTTAGTGATGAAGGCAGTGTATTCCCAGATTAACTTTGACTCAGTGAAGGTCAAAGGGATTGTTGTTATTGTTAGGAAAAGGACAGGACCCCAAAATCTACCTGATTTATTAACAATACTAGTTGCTTTCTTAAACGGTTAAAACCAGCCAGTCCAAGTCTAACGAAGTTCATGGAGGGTTTTTATCTGAAATGGTTTAACATATAAAGCCAGAGCTTCAATTGTTGAGCACCGCACTAATTGTTAATAGAATACAATAGAATTGAATTCAGTTTTTTTGTCAAACGCAATAAAATTGCATTTGTACCGGTCACTGATGATGGCAGTTTTCATCACCTGCCTTTCAAGGTTGGCCTTAAGTTCTTCGGTGTTAACTTAAGGCCAACCTTAAGTTAAGTAATTAATAGGTTAGTGAATTATAGATTAGACTTTTATACTTACTGAAACTTAATGAATTCAGATGATCAATGGAACACACACACACACACACACATACACACACACAATGCTGAATTACTTAAACCGAACTCCATGAAAAGGTCCTCTTCCTTCTCTCCAAGGAAAGTGATAAGGCAGCAGATGGCTACTTCTCTGCGTGTTTCAATTGTATTGTGCTATTTAAGAAAAAATAAAGTATGTATAAAATACATGGGTGACTGCCAACAAAGTGCATTTCAAAGCTACCCAAAGTCTAAATAGTTGTCCTACCTCAAGAAGCATGTCCTTGATCTGCCTGATTCTCACTCCCTTAGCTCCTCCCCTTGATAAAATGACATCCATCAGTTTTGGGGTGCAATGGTCAAGTGTAGCTATTCAAGGCTTACAGTGGTTATTCTCTTGAACACCTCCTTTATCTGTAGACCACAGAAAGAGAAGAATTAAACCTTGCAGACTATTAGCTATACTGCATTAATGAATGCTCTAATACATTATTTAAAGAGGATAGATGTGATCTAAGGCTACCCCAAGTTTTGAGGGAACAAAAACAATCTTGGTGAAGACAAGGGAGACTTCGCCACCATAACCGTGGTGTAATCTCTAATGCTTTAGCAACCCTGTTTTTGCAGAGGTTTTGAATTTGCACATTGTTCACTCCCAGCCCATTTTGTAAAAAATGTGTCCCAACTTAACAAAGCACTAATGACCCTAGATTATCACACTATACTAACTGCTTACATAAAGTCTTAATGTTAAGTAGATTCACATAGCCCATGCCAGAATAATGCTATTGGAATGACATTAACAATATTTCACACAGTCTGATTTAAAAAAAACAAAACAAAGATAGCTACAGCTCTTAAGATCAAGAACAATACTTACTTTAAGCTGTATCACAATACTAACCAAAATCAATGTAATATTACGTATGGGTCATGCAAGTTTTATAAAGATATAAAATAGGTGAGCCAGATGGAAAAAAGAAGCCTCTAGGTTATCCCTCTGAAAGAACTATTCACAGTTTAAAGGCTTCTAATTTTGGTAAAAACAAAATCAGCCTATGATCGAAATTAGATTGCACTGTGTAGCAAAACTTTAATCATGCTTTTCCTAGCCACAGTTGCACTCTCTAGCTGAAGACTTTTGTCAAATGAAACTTTATAAGTCTTATCCTCTGCTGTGCTAAAGTTTAGAATGGCTAGCATTAGCTACATGTGGTAGTGCAAAGTATTTCCTTATCTGTATGAGCATCACATCATACACAAATCCACTACAGGTGACTAGCACAAATGCTTTGCTTTGGTAGAACTGTTATTTGTAAATGAAATGTTACTTACCTTGAAATGTTTTTTACAAAAGCTTGCACCATGCAACGCAACATGTGTGAATTTGCCCGGGCTAGTTAAGTCAGTAGGGGAGGGAATTTGAAATCAGAAGTTACAGTGGAAAAAAATAAGTTATGTATTAAATTTCTTTAAGTAATTACAACTTGAATTTTATTTTGAACCCACTAACATTGGGATTTAATTTCAAATTACATATAAAATTAATTTAATGTAATTACCAACATTATTAATTCAACACAACCCAAAAAAATAAAGTTTGCAAGTGGTGGTAAAAGGCCTGATGAATTACTTTTTAGAGTGTATAAACAGTTGTAGAACTATAATAATTGTATTGTAAAGAATGATTGTCTATAGTTAATCAGTTTAACTCAAGTTGTATTTCTTTCTAAAACAGGAGAAAGTATTTTGGACAGATATGAGGAAAGCTGCTGTGTTTAGTGCCAACCGCTTGACAGGAAGCGACATCACTGAGCTGGCAAAGAACCTGGGCCAGCTAAAAGACATCGTACTGCACCACAACCTCAAGCAGCCAGCCAGTAAGGAAACATTTGTACATTCGAGATATTAAAAAGAATCTGTGAAAATAGAATATTTTTTTCTTATGCCTTCCCTGTTTTATTTTAGGTGCAAACTGGTGCACGAATGGAGGTTGTGAGTTCCTGTGCCTACCTGCCCCTCAGAACGACCCACAGTCTCCCAGATACACCTGTGCCTGTCCTGATGGCATGGTCCTGAGACCTGACATGAAGAAATGCGTGGCAGGTAAACATCTGCACCTCTTGTTACTAAAAAAGATGGAATTAAAATCAAATCTTGAAATTCAGCCAGCTGCACCTCCCCTTAAAGATAAAACTGCTGCTCCACTCCCACCACAAGGTCCCACAAATCCTGCTGCACCCAGGCAGCCAGACCCGACCACCACAACTACAACCACCAACAAACACACAACTACCTCTGCTGTGCAGCCTAATCCTAAAGAACAGCTCTGGAGATATTATGATTCAGTTCATCCAACACAGCCATACTGCACCTCTGACTGACCAGGAGCTGAGTGATGCCCTGGTCCAGATCTGTGAGGAGATACCCGATGACATCAGTCGTTAATAGCATGTCCCGATGTTGTCAGGCACCATACAAGAAGTGGGGGCCATATTCATTGCTAAAGAGCAGACTTACTAAAGATGCGGTGTTAGATTAAATAAGTGTTTTTTATGTGTCACCTATCTGAATATTACTGATCATTGATTGTTATGTTCAGAAACACATTAGCAAAGCTTCTGCATGTGAGTTTTCAGTTGGCTAATCATCTTTTGTTCATGAATATTATTTAAAATATTTCTTTGTCTCTGCAGACAACAACAAGTGTTTGACCGGAAATGGCGGATGCTCTCACCACTGCAACGATCTAAAGATTGGATACAACTGCTCATGCCCTGCTGGATACAGGTTAAAAGCAGACAACAAAACCTGTGAAGGTGAGCTAACAGACACATTTCTGCACCCTAACAAGCAGGCCATGGGTCATAAACGTGATTTAAGAAAGTTTATTAGAAACTACTTTTTTTAAGAATCCAAAGATGCCAAGTTCTTTCTTCTATTTGTTTGTTTGCAGACATTGATGAATGCACTGAGCCGGACACTTGCATTCAGATTTGCATCAACCTGCCAGGCAGCTACAAGTGTGATTGTGAAGAGGGCTATGAGATTGAACCTGCCACCAAGACCTGTATAAAAAGTTATATATAAAAAGTTAATGCATTGGTATTGATGACCAATATTAATACTACATTTTACTATACTGCCACCAATTGTCTGTTTTGTCGTATCCACTTATGGATGCCAACAGGAGGACAAATGACCAAATCTTGGAATAAACATAACCATGTAACACTCACTGAGTTACAGAAAATGTTTGAAATGTCAAACATGGGTCTTAAGGTCAAATATTGCCATCATAAGTTTCACTATTAAAACATTAGCTTCCTTTAAATCAGTTACCTGTATTTTCTAATTCTTGGACAAACTGTAAATAATTCCTTATATAACCTGAAGTCTGTGCTTTACTCAGTATTGTTTCACACCTTTAAGGAAATAAACACTGAAGGCCAACTGAGCTGTGTTTTAACACAGTCTTAAGCTGCTGCCTGACCTTCCGTATATCCTCTGGATATGAACAGAGCTGATGTTTCACCTCTGCCTCACTTTGATGATGTTTTGTGACAACAGTCTCTGGACCTGCTGTGATTCCTGAGGTGTGTGTACATCACATGTTTCTGACTGTTTAGGTTGGAAAGCCAGCCAGCTGTGTACGCAGGGTGTTTCCAGACTTCTCAGAAGCTCTTATTTGTCTGAGGTTCGATGGAGCTGAGGCCCAGTCACTCTCCACTACTTTACAGAATAAAAACCTTGCTGCTGCGGCTTACCTGTTACACTTCCAGTATGAGCACTTACAACTGCTGATTGTAGAATTCAGGAATCACAAGGTTGTAATACATGAGTACTGTAACTTGTTCTTCTGCTGATGTGTGGTGACTTTGGGACTTCAGAACAGTTTCATTATTTCTGCACTTTTTCTGCTTTGGATTTTGGACACTGGCTCCTCTCTGTGGCTGTGTGGTGTTGGATATACTGCATAGAGTATTTTCAGATTATAATTTCAATGCACGGATGTACCGCTTGCAAAATCATTATAATTTATGGACACATAGCTAGTTACCTCTTCTACCACACATGTAGCGTAGTTTACATACACTCATCATGGGCATTAATGTCATGCTTGGACCCCTTTTGCTTCCAGAAATGCTTCAATTCTTTATGGCATAAAGTCAACAAGATGCTGGAAGCATTCCTCTGAGATCTTGCTCCATGCGGATATCACTGTTTGGGGTTTCTAACCTAAACCGTGGCAGTGTCACACCGTTGATGCAGATTTGTCAGCTGCCCATCCATCCTGCAAATCTACCATGTCACCACATCCCACTGGTGCCTCATTGGATGATCTGGTAGCTGTGGAGACCATTTGAGTACTGTTAATGTAATAGAGGATTAACGGGTGATAAGTTTAAAACAGAAGGGAAACGCTTCTGACGGGAAGAGCAGTGGAGCAGCCAAGGGAAGTAGTAAATATAAACTCAAGTTGTTAAAACTATAATTTATTTACAAAAATAAAGCACTAAAATACTCTGGCCAGGCAGAAAAATGAAGTTAAAAACATTAAAAGCAGTTAAAACAATACAGCTAAAATGCACTAGCCTCAGCCATGAAGATCAAGTCCCATAAGAGTCCAAACGTGTCATGGTCCTGGGCCATGTGGGCCCAGTATTCTTAGTTTCTTGTATTTTTGTATTTCGTTCCTTATTTAGGTCATGTTTCCTGAGTTGTCCTGTTATGTTGTTCCTTATTTGACTTCCCCTTGTGACTTTTATCCCCTGTGTGCCCCTCTATGTATCTGTGAGTCCTCATCTCCCCTCCTTGTGTTTCATTCCATGTTTCCCCAGCCCACTATGCCCGTGCTCTCTCTCTCCTCCTGTTTGCACCTCTGTGTACTTCCTGTTTTACTTTGACAGTCTCCCGTCAGTGTTGTTTACTCCTGCCATGTCTTGTTATATTTATCTGTGTCAGCTGTGTTCCCATGTGTGGCCACTTCCCCTGATCATCCCTCTTGTGTATTTAGTCTCTGTGTTTCATGTAGTCTGTGTCGCGTCGTCTGTGTTCTCACCCCCATGTTTTCACGATCAGTCTTTTGTGATCATCTTCGTCTCAGAGTTCTCTTAGTTTGTCACAGTATTAGTTTTCCCCGTTTAGTTATAGTTTAGCCACGCTATCCCTGCTGTGTTTGTATTCCTGGTCTTCAGTCATATTAAAGGCTCGCTTTCTGTTAAACTCACTCCCGTCTACTCACTTGTGTACGCTCCTGGGTCCATTACACACACCACCGCACGGCCTGCCTCTGCAGACCGTGACAAAACGGCGCAGAAACCAACAGGATCGTTGTCGTCCTGTCTGACTCTTCGTTCTGGTGTGCCAGGTTAATGATCAGGAGGGCATCTCCCCGGAACAAATCACATAACAAAACAAAAACATGCAAAAACCCAACAAAATAAAACACTACATGTTAAAAATAAATAAAAATCAAAGAATAAAACAAAACACTACATGCAAGGAAATAAAAATACTAAGTTAAACTTTGTCCATTCCACCCTGTGACATGAACTCATTGTCATGTTCAGGAAACCAGTTTGAAATGATCTAAACTGACACTCAGTTGATACTAAGGGGCCGATAATATGGTGAGACATAGATTAGGCATACTTTTAGATTAAAGGCATTTTTTCATTTGAGCTTTTAAACGGCTTTGTTTTTATTTTAGTGTGAGACTGTGTGAAGTTTAGATTATGCTGGGCAAAGAACTTTAAAGAATTATTTTCAGTATAAACAACTACTCAGCATTATTGGCACATTTATCAGAACTGAAAAGTTAGTTGCTGATGATGTTACTCCATTAGATTGTATTCCTAACAGCTGGAGGCCAACAAGAAGAAATCCCAATAAGTGAGTTTTGGAAGTATTTATCAGTTTTAGTCTTCTAAGTAAGAAACATCTCAGGGGAAACTATTTATTTCTTCCCTCCATGAAACACGTGGGAAGGTGTAATTATCCAATTTCACCACTAGGAGGAAGTCTCATACAAATAGAAGAAATATTTTAGGCTTGACCCAGTGAACTCACACTCATGCTCTTTAGATCTGGCTGTGATTTTAAGCCCATACACCCAAAGAGCTTTCTTCAGTGAGTTAAAAAAAAAAAAATATCCCAGAAGTACAAAATCAGGAGTCCTTCAGTTCATTTATACCTTTAATCCTCTTATTAATAATACCATGGTCAAAGCATCCAAGAGAATCTAAAAGTAGATGTTGTAACAGTCTCACTCCAAGTATGGTGATACCAGCAAATCAAAACAGAAACTCTTCTTGCAGATGACAAACGGCACTGCTATTCCCCTAAAATGTTTGCTCCTGAATGTACAGTATGCCTAAGGAGATGTACACATCGCAGACTCCAGAAGGTCCACATTGTTGATTCATAAGGATGAGAGGAGGAAGGGGACAAACTAGTTTTCCTTATTTCTAGAAACCCTTGGACTGCCCCTGCAGCAACTTAAAAGCAGCTGTTAACATCTGCGGAGGGAGGAGGGGCAGCAGCAGCAGTAGCAGTGGAAAAGTAATTCACACTAATTTTGGGCTTCTTTGCCACGACAAAGCAGTGAACATACACGTCACACAAACAGCACACATATCTGGTAACATGGACATATGTGTGTAATTTTATTTATTTACTTTTCCTTGTATAATTTTAAATTATAATAAGAGCTTTTTGTCAGAAGAAGCTTGAAGTCCAAGTCCATGAAGAGTTCCCTTTAATGGCTTCACAATAACTTTTATACTTCTGCGTTTCTGTCAGCAATAAAATAATTTATTGCTCTAAAGGAAGTTCCACTGTGTTCACAGGCAGCACAGAGAAGTGCTGATTTTAAGTAGAAAAACGATTTGGCTGACAATGTTATATGATTTCAGAACCACAAATGTTCAGAGACAGACCTGAATTAGGGGAAGACTGTGAGTTGCAAAAATTTCACGCAACACTGAGATAAAGACACACCCGTGCTCTTGGAAAAAGTTGTGTAAGTGTGTGAGCGTGTGTGTCTGTACTCTTCCGATTTCTGATTTGTTAGTTGTATTTTAACTGGAACCTGTTAGACATTAGCTGCTTTGTCATCACATCTGGCCTTCGGGCATCAGAGTGTGCACACGAATTACGTATGCATGTGCACACTTATCAGCTTTGTTGGCCCTGAGACACTCGTAATTTTCACAACTCAAGGCATTTAATGATGTGGTGTGTTTCTGACTGAGTCCAGTTCTCTCTTTAGTAGAAGAGCGTCAATAAGAATTCAAGGCTGCCTGAATTCACAGAGCAGGGAAGATTTATAGGAACTAGTCTACTATTTATTCCATCTCTGGTATCTTCAACTATTAATATGTTTGCTAATGGAGGGAAGCAAAATATCAATTCAGGGTACGAATCAGTGATTGGCAATCAGGGTGTGAACACAGAATACCAACACTGTAGATAGGGAGACTTGGAGACACAGTAGTCATCAGGATAAGATGGAGAATGTTGGCAATAATTCAGAAAGCTGCTGATTAATTAGGACTGAGTGATGCTGGATAACATTCCCACTCTTATGTCAAAGAACAAGATCATGTTAATGGCAACAAGCAACGAGAAACAGCATATGGTTTATTTGCACCCATGCTCCCCCCAGTCATGGTACCACTGTATGTTCCAAATCTACAACAACTGTATATAATGATAATATGTATATGCTAGAAAAAATGTTTTCACTGACATTGTTCTGAAATAAAATAAAATAATGGCTTACTTCCATTTAGCAGTTTGAGGTCCAGGTGGCCCAGTGTCACACTAGAGTGGAACAGGTCCGACCTGTTAACAGCAGTGGTGATACTGTGTTTGTATTAGGGGACAAAATGGGGTTTGTAAGTCATTATTAAGGAGCCTTTCTAATGACTCACAGGCTTCTACGGAAGTAAGTAGAGTTGATGTTTGACTAAAGGTACCGGCCATGATGTAGGCACTATTTAAAGTGTACACATGGTTTAAGAGCTGCACCTCTGTGTGTGTTAGCAGTGTGTGTGGGGATGCCGGGAACCAGAATATGTAATCCAGCTGCTTTTTTTACATTCCAGGAATGCCTCCCACAGATTATTCCCTGCCCCTACAAGGAGCCAAGCCAAGCCCAGCTCCTCCTCCCTCTTTCTTACTCTGGGAGCACTCACACACAGCACTTTAAAAACACTAAAACACTTTATCTGCCTGATTTGACTTCTACATATGTATCATGTCCATGTATTCTGAAGCAAAACTCTCTCTTCGTCATTGGCACTGATCTCAAACCTATTAAAAATGTGATTTTCCCCAAAACATGCCAGGAAAACCTTGGAATCACTTTTCTGTATAACCAGACACTCAATTTTTAGGAGTTACATCAAGCAGCATTATGGGGAGGGATGAGCAGACGGTGATGTGGC